GATCATTTCCGATGTTATGTTATGTTCCGTTTCCGAATTATACTTTGTAAAAATGTCACATTAAACTGTTTTTTCAATGACACTGACACGAAATAGTATTTTATAAAGAGGTTATCATTTCAAGGGTCGATTCATTATGACATTATGTCATCAAAACACTATCAAACTAAAATTTCGACCTTATTGCATTATGAATTCTAACAACATTTAGTGGAAATGGGTCCCATATTTAATTTATAGACCTATCAATTTTATAGACCTATCCATACCCCACACGTAAAGATTTGATAAAAAAAAAATCTAAGTCCATTCGTTTTTTTTTCTATTTTTGTATGAATATCGTTTTTTTGCCATTTGGCTACGGAACCCTAAAAATGGTGAGCAAAATAACTAATTGGTCTGCGTTTTTGTTGAAAATTCGACAATATACGTTACGGCCGTCTACGTCGGTTAGAAATTCCCGTCTAAACGGGCATTGATAATATTGGGAAATTATTAAGCTAATAATAATACGCTAATTTCAAGAACCTTACTAATTGCCTGATAACTTTTTGATTTGATCTCATGTATAATTATAACAATAAAACATTTTGTTACTATTTAATTTTAAACTCATTGTATCAGAAGTTGTTTTTTTTTATTTCGATCTCGATTATAATTTTATTATAATAATAAATACTTAAGCTTGAGCATCTACTGAGGTAGTGTACCAAGTTAATTCGTTTACATTTTTGATTATTTAACTCAATAAAAATTTATAAGAATTAAATTTGTTTTTTATTAATTTTCACTTTTATAAATAATACATACCCAAACCAAACAAACACATCCACTCAGACAGTAAATAAAATTTTTGTAAGGATGGCGCCCAGTTTGAGGATGACAAGTACAGAATTCCATTTTCCACTGCAATGGAAATAGTGGGACAAATGTTTCCTCCAAATTATTACTTATTTCTATTGCGGTTAAAAAACGCAGTTGTCTTATTTTTAACCCGGCGTTCGCACAGTTGGGTCTATTTGACCCGAGCAGTTTTCAAATGAGCGTGTTTCTTAAAATGTTTGTGCGACTTTACCAAACTTCTCAGTAGCTGGAGCTAATGGTCCCCCCCTCCACGTGGGATTTGCCAATCAGTCGTGTTGCGGCCGCAGCGAGTGATAGACACGGCCAAACACGAAAAAGGTAAATATGACCCAACCATACTATTCGTGTCGTAATTTTGCGCCGTTTAAAAAAATGTTTTATTGTTGTTTTATATTGTTTATTTTGTTATTTTTGGCAAATATGTCTGAAATAAATGCGTACATATTACATAACGCCAATTTCTAAAGAAACTTAAGCCTTATACTGGTTCGTGAGCATTTGCGCAATCGTAAAGATGTCATTCAGTTGCTAAGACTTATACGCAAAAGAATAAGAGAGTTTTTAGGAGTAGGTACCTGATGAGGAGCCACCTGTGAAGATACTTTATGTAAGAAAGAGATGCCAAGACTGTTCTGCCAAAAAAGATAGAAAACTAATAATTTTCGGAGCTGTATATGCAAATACATCTGCAGTGACCATGCAATGTTGTACTGCCGAGATTGCGCAGATGATAAGGATACTATGACTGACGTATGAGACTGATACAAATAGTATAATATTATTAGTTTACTAAAGATTTGATTAACATGTAACAAATTAGTTTATGTTATATAAAAAAAAAATGTTTTGTTAAAATTTTATTACTTTAAGACAGAGGTTGTCCATTTTGTTAATATTTTGTGACACTTTTATGAAAATGACATTAAAAAGATAGTTTCGTATCATGTTGTGTTTTTTTCTACTCAAAACCTATAACGATAATCGTTTTATACAGATAGTACAACCACATACCAAATTTATTTTAACTTTTGTAATTATGGCGTTTTCTTATACGGGTCCTCTCGACCCAACCCTACTGTCGTTGATGCATATTTTGACTGTGCTGACGCCGGGTTAAATAAATTTCTAAGGAGATATTGAGAATTTTATCTATAGAATAAAATAAAAACATAACTTCTCGTTAATTATAAAAAATAAATAGAGAAAAAATTATGCATCTTCCATTTCTACTACTCGTGGTGACCTACACGAATGATTTTCTGATAGATTTTTATTCCCTTCTCATCGTATTTATTCCTTATATTTAGCCTTTGTTTTTAGTTCATCCTTTCAATCACGTAGTAACAAAATATGTAATCCCAGTGCATGATCTGCGTAGATACATAATCATTGACGTGTTCAGATATTATTGAAAAGTTGTATGTTCAGATATTATTGACAGGCATCTGCTCAGATATTATTGAAGTAATGAATGTTCAGATATTTATGGTCACTTGTAGCGTATAGAACTTAATGACATTTTAACTGTTCAGATGTATTTGGTCACCTTGTATGCTCAGATATATCTGATGGCGACTGTACCATCTAGCTGGTCTGATGATGGGACTGGAAGGTGGCTGATGGAACCTTGGGCTGCCTACTAGTCAAGGCCGGATTAAGGATTGTGGAGGCCCCGGGCCACTTAGGATTTGTATGCTTGTTGACCCATCGAAATTTTGTTATTTCTTAAGCTGTTCTGGAGGCCCCTGGGTCACAGCCCCACCTGCCCTGCCTTTAATTCGGCCCTGAGATTAATATAATCAAATAATCATGTATGTTAGATGTACAAAGTATTGTAGGCTGTAGGTAAAGGTAAAAGAACAAAAAAAAATATAAAAAGGAAAAGATGTTTACTAGTTGGAATTTGAAAACTTTTTGTTTTCCGAAGTCCCTATTGTGGGGGCTTTCGCCCCGGTTGCCCTCCCCTAAATCTGGCAGTGCTACTAGTAAACATATCGAATTTGGGCTCATTAGAGTCGCCTTAACATATTCTTTTAATTTCTCCTGATGACAAGGACTTGACGATGGACTGGAAGGTGCTGATGGACCCTGGACTGCCTACTAGTAAACAAATCGAGTTTTGACTCATGAGATTCGTCTTAACATAATTAAACTTTGAAATATATGTAAATCAGGTGACAATACAATATGGTACCATTGAGCTGGTCTGATGATGGGGCTGGAAGGTGGCTGATGGAACCTTGGGCTACCTACTACATTCGAGTTTGGGCTCATTAGATTCGTCTTAACATAATAAAGCTTTGCAATTATATGTAGATTAAGTGACAATACAATATTATGGTACCATCGAGCTGGTCTGATGATGGGACTGGAAGGTGGCTGATGGAACCTTGGACTGCCTAGTAAACAAATTGAGTTTCGGCTCATGACCACGCAGTGATATATTTAGGGCCCCGTACTTTTTGCGGTGAACAGGCGTATGTGGCCCTCAGTAAAGTAAAAGTACTTAGTGGTCTCCAGATTGAAAAGCTAGATTGTTCTAAGCTGACTGGCAAAACACCATGCAATACAGACGCACTGGCGGAGATCATTCGCCTACTTAAAACAAATGTATATATGTTAAATATATTTTGTTATCAAAGACTAAAAAGTATAAAATAAATTAATCTATATATATAAAAATGAAACCCGTTTTCCGTTGTCACGACATAACATGAAAACGGCTTGACCGATTAGACTGATTTTTTTTAGAATATTCCTTGAAGTACGAGGATGGTTCTTACGAAGAGAAAAATTAAAAAAAATGCCTGAAAATGTCAAAAAACAAAACTTTTCTTTACTCCCATACAAACGATTCGTAATAATACTTAAAAGTCAATTTGAACTTTAATACCATACCATAAATTTCAAATGTTAGTGGAGAGATTCTGGGAAGGCAAAACAATTGAGCGTCGTGATGTCAATAGAAGTTTGGAAAAGATAAATATACCATCTTCAGTTTTTTTATAATCTATATTATATAAAACTCAAAGGTGACTGACTGACGTAGTAATCTATCAACGCCCAGCCCAAACCACTGGACGGATAGGGCTGAAATTTGGCATGCAGGTAGATGTTATGACGTAGGCATCCGCTAAGAAAGGATTTTGATCAATTCTACCCCCAAGGGGATAAAATAGGGAATGAAAGTTTGTATGAAACTTTGTTAATTTTAAAACCGAACGGGCTGAGACTTTGCATGCAGGTATAAGAATAATCATAGATGAATGTCATTGTGTATAAAACAAGCCTGAGAACAAAAACTGTAGTCTACGCTTCAGCTCTACACCGAAGCGAAGCGAGGGCGGGCCTCTAGTAGTTTAAAAAAATAGAAAAACACGCTTTTATAAATGCACGTAAAAACCAAAAATAAATTATGGATAGTTCAAGTTGTCGCAATTTCTGGGCTGAAGTGTAAACTATGTGCTTTTAATTATTATATTTGATTATAAAAGCGTGGGGCGCTAGAAAAAGAAAGACTATTTGTATAACTTGCTGAGAAATCAAGTAAAGCGATGTTACGGGAAGCATGTTACATAGATTGGTGTTCCAGTAACTGAGTTGCAGCACTAGTATTCCCTTAGATAAAGGTCGCGGGAAGCCGCTGGATGCGGGCAGCATGGGACCGATCGTTGTGGAAATCCATGGGGGAGGCCTATGTCCAACAGTGGACGTCTTTCGGCTGAAATGATGATGATGATGATGATTCCCTTAGATGTTCTATTCATTATAATGATGAATATCGCATTACTAATATCTTGATTTCTCAGCAAATTATACAAAAAGTCTTTCCTGTTCCAGCACCCCACGCTTTTATAATCAAATATAATAATTAAGAGCACATAGTTTACACTTCAGCCCAGAAATTGCGACAACTTGAAGTATCCATAATTTATTTTTGGTTTTTACGTGCATAGACTAGAAAAACACACTTATAAAGTGTGTTTTTCTAGTTGTTTTCTTAATATACATCTCGGCAGTACGACGCCCGCTGCTGCGCATAGGCCTCCCCAAGGATCTCCACATCGATCGGTCCTGCACTCTTGTTCTACTGTTTTAATAATTAAAACGAAAATGAAATAATACTCGAAAGTAAATAAATTGATTACATACAACAAAGTATTGTTTATTTCTTATAACATCAAGTTTACAATTTTAACATAATCACATACATTTACTACATAATCCATTATTCAGACGCATGCTAAAAAAAATATAATATTCCCGATATAATAATAAGTATAAATATATTAATGGACTAATCTAATTTGTGCTTATATGTACTCTGTCGCTAACATATAGTGCTTTATCATCAAAATGCTGTAGGTACCTACATACTTTGAACAAATTTTTCAAACAGTGCCTCTTCAGAATTTTGTTGAAGCAGAATTCCTTTAATCTCATACATTTTGTAACGATTTCAATTAGTTTACATTCTCCTATCATATAAATAACTAAATTTTATCTATTCCAAATCATACGTCATAACATAACTGCTTTTTGAATGTGTGTTATTAAGAAAAGTCTTACACTTAACTAATATTCATCTACAGGTTTTAAATGAACATGTTAGAAATAATGATATGTGGTTATTTTGTATACAAATAAACTATTTAACATCAAAGTAACAATTAATTTTAAATATCACATACCTACCTAATATTCGTAAAAATTACATATGATAACTATAATAGGTATATTTCATAATATCTTATGTGGTCCTTTGTATATCGCTACCTTTATACACGTGTCGGTATCAGCTGTTTCTTCATAAGTCATAAGGCAATAAATACTAAATAATGTTCTATCTAGGTACATTAGGTTTATTGGCCATATTCCACTGACGTAAAGTCACTATTAAAGCTACCCGTTTTATATTCGCAACAAAAAATCTCTGCACATTAATAACAGTCATACAAATAATTACTTAGACTGTGCGTGACAATATAACAAACTCTACCAAGGCTATGAAAAAGTCACCTCGTTTGTCTAATTTAACTACCTATCTAATGAGGATCATTACTAGGTCAGCAAATCCAAATCAACAGTTATGACCTAATAAGCTTTTTATTAATATACTTTTTACATCATCGAAATCGGTTCATTCGTTGCGATTTTATAACTAATTTTATGGTAGCCAATATACACCGGGGCGGCCGGAACGTGTGACGCCACAGAGCTCGATCGTGGTTCACTCCGGTCGAACTTTAGTAGTGTCTCTATGCACGCCCGCGCCTGCACACTCCCGAGTGCTAGAGCGCTGTGGCGTCACAGTCACCACGCTGCCAGCCGAAAATTCGTTTAATAATTTGGTCATAACTTCGTCAATATTTATCGCAGAACAACAATTTTACCACTGTATTTTATGGAATCCTTAGCTCTATAAATCTGCATTCTCAACAAAATTCGTTACGGATGCTTATTGATAACTGATATACAATGAACACCGCTTAGATTTATTAGCATATTATCTTTTTGAACACTTTTGTACCATTAAGATATTATAAAAAAGAAGAGGCAACTTTTAGTTGTAGGAAGTTTTCTATAGAACAAGTGAACCAATTTTAAAATTCTTTCAGTGGTAGGAAGTTACTCATCCTGAGTGACGAAATTTAATTTCAGCCGCTCTAAGACTGGCGCTAGCTAGTCGTTTAATTATTATTTTTTATATTACTCACGGAGTCAATCGGTGTTTATTGTAGAAAAATCCATGGCAAACATCTTGTACAAAGCAATAGACAACGTACCTGCGCCGCAGTAACAATTTTAAATAAATACATACAAAAACGTCTCCTGCGCACGGTTTTACCCAAAAGCTTTGCCATAATAAAGTAACGCCAGATCTTCATAAGGTAATTTGTGTTTGCTATTTATTAATTTGACAGCAGCACACCTTTTCATTTCTTTATCCACAAATAGCAAACACGAATACGAGAATAACATTTGTCACTGATATCTGCCTATCAATTACAGTAATCCCGGTTTGCATTGGCTACATGACGTGTTCGAGTGGTCCGTCGTCAATAAGGTTCTGTGTTGGTTTGCGTGCGGTTGTGGATTGTTGATGTGGACACGTGGTGCGTAAGGGGCGCGCTGTACGCGGCTCATGTGTTATTCGTTGAGGATGCAGGTGCGCATGAGCGCATCCACCACGGCGTAGGGATCGCAGTTGGACGCGGGCCGGCGGTCCTCTAAGTAGCCCTTCTTATCTTCGGCCACATTCCGCGGTATTCTGATGCTGCTCGCGCGGTTCGCTACGCCTGCGAAAGAATATAGGAAAATAATTAAAAAATATAGGCGATTCAAATAAGAAAAGGAAAGCCAATGACCTCCATCTGTCAAATGTCGCTTGAAAAATACGGTTTGCAAAATAATCTTGGAACCTTTTTTTAGCACTCAGCTAATTCTATAATCAAAACCAACCATTTGTAAACAAACAATAACAAATATTGATAATTAATACAAGTTGATACTTATTTTCATTTATTGAGCTTTAAATGATTCCGAACAAAACTATCATTTTCTCATTGCTGTGCGTTCTGGGGCATTCAATGTATGGGGAACGAGCAATGTCCTTTCCATAAAAATATTACCGCCAACGGTTCACTAGCCTTGGACAGTTTCCTGTATTACTGCATAGGTAAATCTTTTATGTAGGTGTCGTGGAAACCAGGAAACAATCACTTCATTAAAATTGGTTACATTATAAAACTAGAATTGTATTAAATCTGTCTGCATTGATTGCATACAGATTGCAGATTGCCAACCTTGGCGAAACAATGTTTATTCTGCTTGTTCTCATTTCAATGTTGCTCTTATCTGAGCTAATAAGCACCTAGATATCACAAAATTAAAAATTCTTTCCTGTTATTACTAAAAGCCTATAAATGTCGTAAGAAAGGATAATGAGTAATCATGCGAATAGAGTTAAATAACAACATGTTGCCACTAAAAAAGATTATTTATTTTCTTTATATATAATCGATCTCGATAAGCAGATAGGATAGTTCCTCTTGATACCAGCATAAGATAAATTAGATTACCTACACAACATGATGTTTAATACGATTATATTGATTGCAGTATTTTGAAACACCTTTTAATTAAGTATATAGGTTTTACTCGCAAGAATGTGGTTTTAGTGCATAATTATACCTACGCTACGCTCACCTACACATTATTTATTTTTATACCTTGAGAGCAATGAGTTCGACTTAACCTTTATCAGCACAGAAACAGTAAATATGGCGTAGGGTGATTTGATAAACCGATTTTTCACGAGTCCTAGGGATTTTGCGAAAACGCAGATAATTAGACAATGGCCATGACATCGCTCAATCTTACGGTTAACGTTTTTTTTTCTGGCGTCATGGTCACAATACATTTTAAACTAGTGTGAACCCAAAATCCCAAAAAAAAATTATAATAAGTCAATTTTCGCAAAATCCCTAGGATTTTCGCGAAAATTCGATTCGATTATCAAATCATCATACGACATACATAAAAATCTGAACTGGTAACATTTAAAACTTATAACTAATTGATCTTGATTTATCCGTTGTGTTAATTCATCTCAAATGATGCCATTTCGGAAAATTCTTGACAGAAACGTCATTCAGTCGATTTCTTTGCTCTCAAGTGTATACAACTTTTTCAATTAGCGCAATACAGTTTTCCCTACCAAAGGTCACTTCTGTATTATAATCTATATTATCGGCTTATATCTAGTCGTATGCCCAAAGTGTGCCTACACACAAATTAAAAAGATACAAAATAGGAAAATATTCAATAAATGTCATATTTATTCATGTTTAAAACGTGACGTCTTGTGTTGTATTTATTCGTTAGGAATTGGAATGCACCTAAGAAAGAAATATACCACGCAACCATATTAGGTACGGAACTTTCGAACAGAGTCTCTGTGTTTTTGCGAATTTCTGTGAAGTACAGAAGAGGCCATCAAAGAAAGAAGAAACAGAGTAGTAGCTTATTAGTAACGAGCAAAACGATCTCATACACCAATTACTTAATTGCACACGTAGGTACGGAATCTCGCGTTAACTATACTCGGAAGAACATCAGTAGATTTTAAGGCCGCGTATGTGTAGGTATCCTATACATTTAACTTACGAACCGCAAAACTCGCACAGTGGATTTTAACATTATTCTGCCAATACAAACTTTTGATTATTGTCGACAAAAGTCGAGTACTTGCTCCCTACCGCTTAAGAGTACGTCTCTTTAAGCAATAGACAATAAAATCACTTCCCTCAATGGAGGAAGTTATCACTGCAACAAATTAGGAAGGTGCTTTTTCTTTACTAACAGTTACACTCGTTGATTCAAGGGCGTAAAAAACCAATTTGTTAACTTTTTCTGGTCTGATAGGTCTGCCTGGGTGATATTAAGTTCCTGACAAATAATGAGACTATTAACATGTAATCAGTGACTGTTTTAATTTAAAGAAAATTAATAAACTTCTTCTTGTTGTTTCTTATCGATTTCCTCATTGCAAGTGAAACTAATTTGGCATTGGTTAGAATTCAGCTGTTGGCAGACGACAAGAGTGAATGGTTACCGGGAAAATATCCTTATGCAGTGAAATGACTTTACCTTATAAAGTCTATTTTTGTATTACTCGCATTGAAAAGAATATTACGGGCTATTATTCCAGATCAATGCGAAAAAGATTCAATCGTTTGACATCAGGTTCTAATAAAAATGTAAAGTGCCTACGTATAGAAAATAAATATTTACCCGCGCTGAAGTCATTAATACTGGCTGTTTCGTGTAGTCCTGTAAGTCTCCTCTCGTTGTCCTTTCCACCGCGAGGATCGTACACTTTAATGTGCTTCATGTGCACCTTTGAAAGCTTATCTATCGCCTTCTCAATTTCACTAGAACAAAATTACAATATTTAATAGATGATAAATTTCATCAGCGTAAAAATGATACAGGCATTTCCTATGGATAACTAATTACTAGGTGCGGTGCTGATTGGTGGACGCTAATGACCACATATAAAACCGGGACAAACGGCTTAACATGTCTTTCGTAGCACGGATGAGCTTGCAATAAAAAGTGACCAACGGGTCACCCATCATATGACCGGCCATGGCAAAAGTTGTTTAACTTTCACAAGCCTGACTGCGCCTTCCTTAGGCCTTTTCCTGCTTATACTTAGGTAATGTTGCGTAACACACAAAAAAGTTTTACTACACAGGCACTTCTTGTAGTAGCCTCCAAAACGGTCATAATACGATAACCGGTCTTATGTAGGTAAAGGAGTTAAAAACGGTCAACTTTGGTTGTTATCAAATAAAAGTAATTATGACATAATATTTTCTAAATGTTAGAGTTTTAATTATGCATGACGAAAGGCGTTAGAGTAGGTAATCTACTTAATTATGTATGGAAACAGCCGCTGTTGCCAATATTCTTACCGCAGTAGGTAGGTTTGGCAATGAAAAGTAATATAAAAGTTACTTTTATGCGATGACTACATTTATCGAATTAATAAAAATCTAAATTGTGAAACATGAGATCTTGAGTTTTGAGTAGAGAGGAACTCACATAAGTATAAAATAGGAATGACTGGTGCAATTTACATGTTCAATAAGTCGGGTATCGGTAGCGGCAAACTTCTGGACTTGAATCACAGACAAATAAACTTGCGCAGTAGCTGTTTATGTAGGTAAAATTGCTATTGCGCAGTCTTCCATGTCTATGATCATTGCTCAAGAAGTTTGTAGGGATGTATACTCACATAATACCGTTGTCTTCCCTCATCTTCTTGGTGGAGAAGTTAGTGTGTGCACCCGAGCCGTTCCAGTCCTGCACCGGCTTCGGGTCGAAGGACACAATGACGCCGTACTCCTCGGCGAGCCTGTGCAGTATGTAGCGTGCCATCCACAAGTCGTCGGCGGCCGTGACGCCCACAGAGGGCCCCACTTGGAACTCCCATTGGGAGGGCATCACCTCCGCGTTGGTGCCCGATATTGGCACGCCAGCGAACAGACAACATCTGCAACGGCGAAAGCTTGTCAAAATTGTCATTCTATTTCTCTCTTCATTTGTTTAGGGACTCTAAAGTTAACGTTGGGTCAGCAAGAAGCTTTCGGCTTAAAGAACATTAAAATGATATTCACTACCTATGACAATATAAAAAAAATATAGCATATAAACCTTATGTCAGGAGGGGTAGAGAAGACTAAAGTTGCTAGTTTGGTATTTCCTCTATGAAAACTGCTAACAGCTTTTACTAGTCTTAAGAACAAGAATCGTTATCTAATAAAACCATAATAACAATTTCGTTGTATTCCGCTGAGTTATTAATTTAGGTAGCGAAAAAAAAGCCATGCATTTGAATTTCGCTCTGTTTTATGTTGGCAATACTATCACTAGCTTTGCCAAGTGGAAATAAATTATTGAATGCCTGCCTAATGTTTAGTGACCGGTTTAAGCTATTAACACTAACTCAAAACTCTGCCAATATGCAATTGGCGCACTAAACACCCATAAGAGTGTGGACGTAAGGTTGAAACGAACCTGTAATGTGCTTCAACTAGATCTCTGGCGAACACCTTGTTGGCACCAACGCCGCAGTAGTACGGGCCCTGTGGTGGGGGAAAGCCGCCGGGGGGCCAGCCGAAGGGCCTGAGGTCAGAGTCCAGTAGGATGTACTCCTGCTCGATGCCGAACCACGGCTCCTCATCCTTACACCTGTCGTATGAGTCTTGACACTTGACACGATTGTTGCTATCTACAAAGAGGTATTAATCCCAATGAGTACTCTACATCAACACCACCTCAATATCTATTGAGGAGTTGATAAATGATCAAAAGGAATTCGGTAAGTACAACGTATTATAAAACCTGACTTTGGTATAACCTTTTGGTATCTTCGGCTCGGTTTTACCACTTGACGCTTACAATAAAAAATTAAAAGTAACGATACTTTGTCCATTTTTTATTAGATTTATAACTTGGTACTTTTCCTACAAGTGTAAAAAAATACAAGTAAGTTAATTAACTCCTATATATACATAATCCTTAATTGAGATTTTAATACAAAAAATTGTGTGGTTTTATGATACAACGGTGCAAGTGAAACTTAAAATCATAAAGCAGGGCCTTAAACCCGGGCCGCCAGTTCAGCAAGCAAGCTTTCTACCGAACCACCTGTACCACCGATGCTTTTTGGTAAGATCTATTTTTTAAGAACAATTAAAAATGTAATGCGACATTCTAAAGATGAACGAAACAAATTGTGCCGATGTAATTGATGTTGCACTTTAAAATTAATTTTATTTATTAATTTGTTAAATTAATAATTCTATATTTATATAAAAGCATAAAGTTTTACCCACAGATGACTAAGATTAAAGAGTTTTACCTGTAGGCTCCATGTTGTATTTGTATGTATCACACATGACTAGGATATGGTTGCCGCGTCTGAACGGATCCTTGTAAATGGCCCGAGGAATCAGGAATGTGTCAGAGTTGTGGCCCTCAGCTTGTCCAGTGGAGCTGCCATCGAAATTCCATATAGGCAATTCTGGAAAATCATACATATTTCAAATAGGAGTATCGTGAACTCTAAAGTATTAAAAACATGTGCGTGCCCTAGGAGAGGCCACAGTGGAAAACGTAGGTTTCTAAATCTTTATTTAGAAGGAGCTTTAAAATAATTGTAGCCGGAAGGATAAATTTGTAACTCTTGAAAGTCGAACGCTCCGACTGACCGAATGTGGGCTCTCAGACGAAACACCTAAATTTTCACATCTGCCCAACTTAAATAATTTTGATAAATGATAATATTTAGAAGGCAATTTGTAGGACAAGGTCCAAGAATTTTAACACTGTCGAGTAACTACCAATAAAGAAAATCCAAACAGTTGGTGGGCCCTCAGTGCCTACATGTTCGAAATTTACTCTACTGTACAAACAAATTTGTAGTTAAAGCTAAGTTATGATTTTATTTATTTTTTTAAGCATTTAACTGCTAGATGTTTAAATCTAAAGAAAAGTTTACTAGAAAAAAATCCACGCGGACCAGGCAGCGGACGGGACTCGAACCAGCATCCTTCGCTATCCGGGCAAATGCACTGACCATTATGCTACTACAATGCGAAGAGATGGCGCTGCCTTGCAGCTTAAGGCTAGAAAAATTTCGACGCGGCTAATAGGGCCGTGGTAGCATAATGGTCAGTGCATTCGCCCGGATAGCGAAGGATGCGGGTTCGAGTCCCGTCCGCTGCCTGGTCTGCGTGGATTTTTTTCTAATAAAAAATTTATCTAGTAAACTTTTCTTTAGATTTAAAGCTAAGTTTCTTTGGCAAGTTTTTAAATTTAGCAGAAGTATTCAAAGTGCTACCCTGTAAGTACGAGGTTAATATATTCCACCACTACAGAATAAAAAGCTGTCGTAAGTGGGCCCTCGGTCGAAACGCTGAAAATCGAAACCAAAGGTGAAAATATTTGATGCATTTTTTAGCAGAATTTAACATTTTTCTTTTGACAATTTTTTAAAGGTCCTGCTAAATGTTTATGTAAACGAAACCTACTTTTACCACTGTGGCCTCACAGTGGGAACGCACATTTAAAACTATGTAAGTTAAAGTAATATGGATGACGATTGCAAAAACGGTCTCCTAAAATAAATTACCTAATGAAATGCATATACATCAGAGACGCATCTATGTCAATATCAATATGTGCAACTAAGTAGTTCTTAGCAATTAATGATCTATAATTATACTTCTTTCTCCTAATTAAATTAATATATGCAGACAGATACCTACAGTCAACATTAGATCAACCCCGACTTGAAGACAACATTGTAGGTGACAAAAACAAGATTAGGTTAATACCTATATAACACTATTAAATTTGTTACCTAGGAGATAATTATAAAATCATCCAATACGGAGAAGGCAACTATAGAAAACTCGTTATGATTGTATCAAAACTACAATAATGAGAAACAATATTAACTACTTACTTAGGTAACTAAATCAGTGTACTTAATTCAAATCAAATCTATTGTAGCAATAGCTGACATTTCTACGACTGCTACAGACATATTGCTTTGAAACCTTTTAAATTCTCATTAAAGCTATCCCTATTCTCTGTTACTGACAGCTTGCAGCGTACATCAAACACAGTTTCTAGGTCCTTTGGGTAAAAATACGGCGGCAGGTATTCTAATGCATGGCTCCACGTCAAATTTCTCTTCATCTCGGTCACGAAGTTTTCGTTCATATCCTCTAATAGACGTGTCAATTTATCTACGATAAATAAAACGTCACAATAAAATTTATCTTTCTCAAAGTCGAATGGAAACCTTCTTTCAATCCTTTCCTTCAACTTATACCTCCCTTTAACTCTCTCCTTATAGTGCTCCATTCTTATCCCTGGCAATATCCTTAGCAGCCACGGGCTAAGAGTGGTAGTTTGTCTTACCCATGCTCATTATCATGACTAAGTAAATAAAACTACCGTAATACATAAAAACAACCAAATTGAAAAACAGATAGTATATAGAAAAAATATATGGTGCGCGCACATTTCGAAAAATCAACATCCCAGACTGCGAAGGCCGTACCATTTTGTGCATCTACAATAATTACAATTGGTAATGAGGATACAATAAAACTAAGCTCACGTCACCACCTACCACTACTAGTAGGTATATGAACTTTATACCTAGCTATAAATAAAACGAATTATTTATAATCTGAATAGATCTAAAAATTTGCATATGTAGGTATCGCTTCAGTATCACATCTGTGTTGAAATTAGCACAGGACAAACCTACACCAATGGCTTGTTGGTTTTTAATTAAGTATATTGGAAAAGTGTACCTAATTACTAGTGAAAGCTTTATGAGTAGACAATCAAGGACAATCGTAAATGCCTTTTCTTTTTGGATCGATATTATACTATATTTTGTTCACCATTAGGCCAATAATTACATACATGGCCAATTCTTTAAGTTCAGGTTCTGTAGTGTTTTTTTTTTCGAAATACCGTAGCAATCGTCATTTGCACTTCACAGAGACAGAAAAAAATAAACTTAGTTTTAATAATTGAGCTCACCCTTAGGCACTTTAGGAATGAAGCTGAGGGTGCGGTCCTTGCACCTGAGGTGCTCGCCGGTTCCATCAATCCAGATGTAGGTCGCGATGATCTTGTCAGCGGGCAGCGGCAGGTCGTTATATCTGCTGAGTAAGGTCTTCGACAGCACTGCATTCGGGGAATTGGTCAACACCGGCCCCGATAATATTTTTGGGTTATCTGTAAAGGTCATTGATTGTTTAGTTTTTTGTCCTACCGACTTAGGTACATCAATAGCAATCATAAAACGTTATTAAATTTTAATAAACACCCAAGTGTCATTTAAATTAAATTGGACTATGAATCGTCCTTAGAAACCAATTTTCATTATAATTATGTACTTTTTTTATGTAAAAGAAAGTTAAAATCTCGAAGACGAACCACGGCGATGATCAATAACCGGTTCCGACATTTTATTTTTTATCTGTAATTGCGCATCCTTTGACACTTCGCGTGTAAATGGGTAAAATAAAAGTTACTGTTCCATTAGTAGTTGTGTACTAAAAACACACTATTATTTATCAATTGTTATCCGTTTGCCGGGCGGAGCGGTCGCATTATAGGAATGTAATGTAAACAAAAGATTTCGTTAAACACGTAAGTAATAAAGTTTGATAATGCGATTATCACAATAATTTTGTCACATGACACTTGTAAGACACTAATATTTGACGTATTGGTTTTTAAATATTTAAATAATTTAATCGAGACAGACGCGCATTTGACAAAAACATAGCTACGTGATGTGTCATTTTATATTATTATGACAGACGTAGTTGTAGAGAGATACCAATAGTGGTAAAATGGCCAAAGAAGAGACAAGGATTGTTGGAAATGTATTTTTTTATCTAATGCAAAGTTTAAGAATATTTTGACATGCCTTTTATTTTATTCCGTAGTGTTCTGTTGAGTTTTTTTTTTTTAATAAAAATTATCTTATTTTTTCCTCCTAAATAAACATAGGTACATAACAAGTACGAAAGACGAACAAACATATTTTTGTTTCTTTTTCTTTTACGTAGGTAATTTGTAAAAAAAGTTAATAAAGTAATTATTATTATTAGAACATACTCCCAATAGTACTGAATAAATAAAAGACATACATAAAGAGAGGGTATCGACCCGCCAAGCATTCGAACCCGGAACCTACAGTTAAAGATGTTCTGTGCGATTGACGTTAACGAGACACAGACCTGACCTCATTTAAACCGATAAAGTCTTAATTATATTTATTTTATGATTAAAAAACCGTTGGTTACAGACACAGGCAGACATGTAACACCAAATGGAATTACTCATTAAAAATTTCTGCGTACCTATCACAGATCAAAGGTTAGGTTAGGGACTTTTTTTTTACAATTTCATGTAAAAATGTGGGCATGTGAAAGGATTACTAATATAATAATTTTAATTGTAATAAAATGATACTGTAAGGAAATAAGTGAACTAATGTATTGCGTCCTGTACCTACTCGCAGAAAAACCCTAGGCATTGCGAGATGACAGTTAGCCTGAGTCGCCTGACAGACGGATGGACGGATAGCGAAGACTCAGTACCTATATCATGGTTCCATGGTCGCATTTTGGCTCATTATCATCAGCCTATTAATGTCCCCACTGCTGGGGCAAAAGCCTTCCCTATGTTGAAACAATCTGCGTTTTGGACAAATCGTTTATTCATTATAAGAATCAGGAGTGTAACATAATATTTAATATAATCACATTTTCGGTAAGAGCGTAACATTGCAAGCACAGTACAGCGAGAAGAGAGCAACCAGAGACTTTTTATTTTTAATAATAGCTATGACATAATAGTTTATAGCATTGGCTTACAGTATTGATACTTATCATATCCAACACTCCCTCTCAATTTCAAATTTACTACAAAATTTTAAATTGCACTTACACAAAGTATGAAATTATAACTTTACTAAGATTGTTTTACACAATGTTCTACAAATTCTTTTACATATCGTTATCATAAGTTTACATAATATATCAAATCAGAATTATGTTAATTATACATTTTTATTACCACGTTATACAATAAAAACTTTTACAAATTTGTTGAATTTTTCTTTACACAAACCTTTTGTTAATAAATCAGCAATATTATTTTCAGTACTTACATAATTAATTTTTATAATATTTTTCCTCACAAGATCTTTAATATAATGGAATTTAATATCAATGTGTTTTGTTCGTTTAGAGTTCTCGTTACACTTTGCCATCATTATTGCACCTTGATTGTCCACTAAAAGCACTGAATTTACACTGTCATTAAAATTTTCACAAATACCTTTTAAATTTACTAATTCTTGGGCTGATGTTGCAGCAGCTATATATACAGATTCTGCTGACGAAAGCGAAACACATTTTTGCTTCTTTGAAAACCATTGGACAGGATTTCCTTTATAAAATATTATTCCACCACTTACACTTTTTCTATCTATCTTATCTGCCCCCCAATCTGCATCTGAGTAAGCAATTAAATCATTTTCTTGACTTTTCTTAAACAGTAGTCCTCTGTATTTAGTATCTTTTATGTATCTCAATATTCTTTTTCCTGCTTTCCATGTCTGTTCAGTGGGTTTTTCTATAAAACGACTTAAATATGACACTGCATATGTAAGATCTGGTCTTGATGTCATTGTAATGTATATCAAGCTTCCCATCAATTCTCTGTAAGGCAAGTCTTTTCTTTCTTCTTCATTTTTTATGTCTAAGTTTGATTCTATTGGTGTACTTATACCTTTGCACTCTGTCATTCCAAATTTGTTTAAAATCTTCTCTATTAATTTAGTTTGCTTTATAATTAGTTTATCTTCTTCTCTATAAATTTCCATACCCAAAAAGTTCTTTATTTCTCCTAAGTCTTTAGCATTAAAATGTTTCTGTAATGAATTTACTATATCTTTTGTGTCTCCAATTAAAATAATATCGTCTACATAAATTATCATCCAGCAATTATTCTTATAATATAAGCAATAATCATAATTTGATTGTTTAAATCCATTTTCTTTTGCAAATTTATCTATAGTATCATTCCAACACTTTGGTGATTCTTTCAAACCATATAATGCACGCTTCAATTTTAATACTGTGTTAATTTTATTTGAACATTCTAAACCTTGAGGAACATTAATATAAACTTCTGAATTTAACTTTCCATTCAAAAAAGCAGTAGGTATATCTAACTGTCTTATTTCTAAATCTTCTTGAATTGCTTTAGATAACATCATTCTTACTGTCGATAGTCTAGCTACCGGTGCATACATTATTTCAAAATTATTATTTTGTTTTATCTGATACCCTTTGGCAACTAATCTAGCTTTTTTAGTTCCGTCTTCTTTTACTTTGAATACCCATTTTGTATCCACTATTTTTGTATTTTTAGGTTTATTTACTTCTTCCCATGTATCTAAGTCATTTAATGCTTTCAACTCTTTATTAATTGCATTTCTCCATTCCATATCCTTTGTCGCTTCCTCATATTCTATAGATTCTTCTCCTGAAATCATACAATAAGCAACATAAGTCTCATAATCATTTAATTTATTTGGTTTTCTTATTTTTCTTCCATATTTTGATATTTTATCATTCATTTCATTTGTAATTTCTTTGTTTTCATTATCTATGTCTTCAATCATTTCATTTTCTTTATCTTCATTTGTATATACTTGTGTATTTTCTTGTATTACTTTTATGCCATCTGAGATTTCTTTTATTTCTCCCTCTGAATTATTACTGTTTTTATCTTCCAAATATACATATTTACTTTCATCGAATATTACATCTCTTGATCGTATTAATTTATTTTCATTTGAACACCACAATCTGTATCCTCCTAGATCATATCCTACAAATATATATGATTGTGCATTTGGATCTAATTTGCTTGTTCTTTTCAAATTTACTGCCCAACATTTACTACCAAACACTCTGAGTCTTGATAAGTCATTTTTACCATACCAAATATCTGATGGTGTTTTTCCATTCAATGCAACTGTTGGAGATCTATTCAACTCATAAGCTGAAGCTTTTATTGCTTCGCCCCATAAAAATTTTGGTAATTTTGTATCCAAAAACTTTGTTCTAACTTTATTCATTAAAGTTTTGTTCATCCGCTCAGATTTTCCGTTTTGCTGCGGAGTATATGCCATAGTATATTGTAATTCAATTCCTCTATTTTTACAATAATTTTTAAATCGATCTGAACTAAATTCTCCACCATTGTCTGTTCTTATGGCTTTTGTTCTAACGTTAAATGTACTTTTTAATTCTTTTATGTAATATATTAAGTTTAACTCAGCTTCACTTTTCCTTTTTAATAAATAGACTTGAGTAAAATGCGAATAGTCATCAATGATTACCTGAAAATATCTATACCCTGCTGGTGTTTCATCTTTTATAGGTCCTGATATGTCTGTATGTAATAACTCACCAATTCTTTTACTTGTATTATAATTATTGTCGAATGGTAATCGGCATGCTTTTCCTTCTATACATGTTTCACATTTTTCCTTACTAACTGGTAGGCCAAGTATCTTCATACTGTTTCTATTTAAGTGACCTAGTCGCTGATGCCAAGTATTCGCTGTAATTGCTTGGTTCACATGAACAGTTTCTATATCAACTTGTAGTGTATATAATTTGTTTACTTGAGGTGCTTGAAATCTTATTCCTTTATAATTATTATATAGTATTATGCCTCTTTTATTTATTTTAATTTCAAAACCTTTGTTTATTATTTTTGATACTGATAATAAGTTAAATTTCAATTCTTCAACAATCAATCCACCTTCAATGTTTATCTCTATTCCATCTATTTTAACTAATAAGTCACCAACTTTATATGCCAACATGCACTTGCTGTTTGCAACAACTATTTTTATAGGTTTCTCTAAAACTTTTATGTTTGTCATATATGTCTCTAAATCATTTTTTATTAAGTGTTCTGTAGCTCCAGTATCTAATATAAACTTTTCTTTTTCTGTATTAATGTCTGTATTCAATGCAACAAATGTGAGAAAACTTCCTTTATTTATTTCATTATTAGTATTTGGTTCTCTATTATTTACTCTGTAATTTCTTCCTTTATAATTTCCTCTAAATTTTCCACGCTGTATGTTAAAATTGTTAGTATTACTCCTGCACTCGTTTGCCTTGTGACCTTTTTTATTACATTTGTAACAGATTATAGCTTTAAATGCAACTGATCTTGTCTCTTCTTTAATTTCATTTTTGTTATTGCACAATTTCAACTCTTCATCAAGTAATCTAGCTTTTACAAATTCAAGTGTAATGGTTTCGGTAATGGTCTCTATGGCTGTAATTACTGTATTGAATTTCTCTGGTAAACCAATCATCAAATAACAAATTTTGTCTTCTAATGCCATCTGTGTGTCAAGCGATTCTAGCTCACGTGTCAAGTTATCATATCTCTGAACATAATCTTCTAGTTTTTCTGTGTCGGCCATTTTTAATGTTAAAAGTTGCCGTCGTAATCGTAATTTAGACAATACACTTTTTCTTTGAAAAATCCTTGATAATGTTTCCAACATATCTTTCGCTGTTTTGCAGTCTTTTATTATGTTTAAGTATTTATCGGATGTACACTGCACTATAATTAACTTTGCCTTGGCGTCATTTTTGTTATAATTTTCCAATTGTTCTTTAGTCAATTTACTACAATCAGTGTCTAAATCGCTTACTTGTCTTTCGTTCAATAAACATTTTAGTCTAAACATCCAATTATCGAAATTATCTGCCTTCAATTGCGGATATTCGAAGTGGCTTGAGGACGCCATTGTATTCCAATACGACACACTTTATTATCATGAATATATGTTACTACTCACGGATTCCGCTGTTCCCATAACCTGTTGAAACAATCTGCGTTTTGGACAAATCGTTTATTCATTATAAGAATCAGGAGTGTAACATAATATTTAATATAATCACATTTTCGGTAAGAGCGTAACATTGCAAGCACAGTACAGCGAGAAGAGAGCAACCAGAGACTTTTTATTTTTAATAATAGCTATGACATAATAGTTTATAGCATTGGCTTACAGTATTGATACTTATCATATCCAACACCCTACGCATGGAATAGGGAGATTGACAAACCACGCGGGCCCAGTGCGGATTGTTGGGTACTAACGAGCAGATGTAGCCGAAAACAAACGACCTAACATGCCCTTGAAGCACGGAGGAGCTTGAGATAATTCATTTTTGTTCACCCATCCAATGACCAACCACTGCGAAAGTTGATTGACTTCAACGATCGCAGCCGAACGCGCGACAGCGCGCTTCGCCTGCGCTAATGCGTTCCTTTGTATACTTTGGTAATAGAACCCTAAAAAGGTCTAGTGTTTTTAAAATTTGCGGGTACTCAAGTTAAATGGAACACTAAGATTTGTCTGATCTGTGACATTTATTACATCATGTGCCATTAGCTATGAGACTCACATTTTTCTATTATAATAAATGTTAATTTATGAATTTAGAACGATGACCAAACACGCTAAAGTCACAATGCCTTACATATTTGTTGGTAATAGTTTTACATCAGCAGAGGTGTAGTTAGTTGCCTAGTTTTTCTGAATATAATACTGAAAAATTATCCTTATCCCCGTCATTTAAGGTCCGGAGTCGTGAAAAAATCTTTTCTAGGTCAATGCGTAAGGAGCTTACCTTCTATCTTCACATCCGCCATGTTTGTATTTCTTTATTGCTCTGCAACAAAATGAAACAATGTTAGAAAATGAGGAATTTTCAACAGGTATTCCTGAAGACAGGCGGTTTTTAATTAAAAGTTTCATTTGCTTGGGTATAAAAATCAATTTAAGTTAATGATTGTCGAAATATGATTGCGAGTTGTCTTTGCTATTGCAGACAGAGACTGAACCACATCAACGTTTTATTATAATTTAAATATTTATTGACGTCTCTATATACGAAACAATAAATAATGATTGCACCCATTAAATACGTATTATGTAGATACTTATAATAAACAATGCAAAGCGAAAGTTTTAAAGTGTTCTGATTTGTCATTTTACCTTTTTCTTAACAAAGAGTTGTTGAACTATAATGACGCGCAAATACAAACAAACCCTTGACACAAAAGTCGGTTATTTCGTAAAATCGATTGGCAGGCTGCCCAAAACGAGGCGACTCCGACGAAACGACGAGGCGACGACGACAGTCATTTTATAACTATACTCGTACCACACGTTCGCCACGAAATAAATCACAAATATACTTTCACTTCTACGAGAACTCTGAAGTTGTAAACCGTATGGAGATTTTTGTTGCTAAGGTCATCTCACGTAAGATTATTGACTTTATTAACTGTAGTGTCTATATGAAAATAACTATACACTAGAAAATTGAGGTACGGTCAAGGAATGGCATGCTGGCATTCGATATCATATTAGCACGCATACTTCAACTCAGAACTCTGCTGTCCAATTACTATGGGTATAGTATAGTAGATAGTTTATTTAACTACAAGTTTTGTATGACTTCCGAAAATAAAATATAATTACTTTGTTCAAAACACGTTGTCACAAAGTGAAACTTTTGTTCCCCGTTTCTAGTTTCCTTAACTAAGTCAAGGAAAACGACTCCTGCAACGGTGTCGTGTACAATATCAAATGATAAAACGCCTTAATATCACCTTTGAATCTTAACCTGCTTAAGGAAATGTGTGAAAATTCGGAAGCACTTAAGTAGGTAGGTACTTATCTTGATTGATAAGGAAAGAATTAAATATGTTTATTACCAATAAACTAAAGCATATACACTTGGACATTTGCCTGATATTTTAATAAAAGAAAACTTCCCAAGTATTTAAAATGCAAATACTAGTTTTCATTTATTTCTTTTCCTGACAGCTGGTATTCTTGTCTGCATCGGAACGTATCAGTAATTAATAATCATTTATTTACACACCTACTTGATTAATAACTGTTCCGCATAGCAACAACACTTCTGTTTATCAATAAAAACGAGACTTTGGGCCAGTGATGCTATTCTGTAAAAACAAAATCTCACTTTTCCCCTCGTAATCCTCGGTGTGATTTAAAATAAGAATATGAATTTCAAATAAATTTTATATCACACCGCGAATAACGGTCCACACTCTTTCTCTGGATGCATCTATAAATATTATCCAACCACCGGTAAGTATAAGTGGATAAACAATTCTATTAGTAAAATCCACCCAACTAAGCAGACGGAGTTGCGGGCAAGTGAAATCTATGTTTAAAAAGGATTTTAAAAGCTTTTATTTAACTTGCAATGTAAGTATGTATGTTTGTTCGGGTGGAATCTTGCAACTCAATTTTGATACATTTCATTTTATTCTTTTTGGCGCATTTAAATAAATGCTTGTTTTTAAAAAAAAAAATCTTTTATTTTTTTTAAGTTAAAAGAGTGCCAAACATGCTTTTGGACAGCCTGGTAGTAATCAGCCACCAAAGCCTTTAAACGCTTGCGATACCTAAAATACAACTCGATTTTCATATTTTAAGGTTTTCTTCAGACACAAACATCTTCCGTCATACACTAACAAAACAAACGCATAAACGTAGCTCGCATGCTTTTGTTGAATCCCTAAATGGAACAAACTAATCTAATTTACTTCAGGAAGCGAGATATTTATTAAGATGAAGATTTTCATAGTTAGGTAAACGTTTTAATAAAACATGTATCAATCAAACAAATCATCATGTGTACAATTTAGTTTTACATAAAAATTACTAGCTATGAATATTTTTGACGTGACAACGTCCTAAATTAGGTTGCGGCTGGGAGTCACTTATGAAAAAGTGTAACGCTCGGTAACGTTACGATGAGTCTCTCGTGTTAAGTTTAAGTTTACATGTACAATGTTTTAGTAAACAAAATATATTTCTATAGTTAAAATTTGTGCAATTCTTATTTTCATTCAATTCCTTGTTCCTATTGTGCAATTTAATTATATTCATATCAATAAATATTCTACCGAGAAAAAGACGTTGTCACGTAAAATCTTCGCCCGTAAAACCGACTTTACAGGCAACCATTTTTTTTATTTAGTTTTATATACCTAATTAGGAAGCAGTGTATATCTCGCGAAAGTTTAAATATATCGAAAATTTTCACATATCGAGAGCATTGACATGGCACATACAGGTAATTTTTCGTTCCAATTCCTCACGGATATAAAATCAGGGCAAGTCCCCAGAGCCCAGAAATCGGAGCACATGGCAATTTCATCGTACTTATATCGGTTTCTGCTTGCTTTGTAATTTAAATGTGTTGTTGTTTTTTTTTATAAAAGGCAATGTAAACTTTTTATCACTTTATGCTCTTACTTTTGATAATAAGGGACCTAAAGTGTCTTGAGTAATCAAATGTTAAACCAATTTAATTAGGCATCTCATTACCCTTGAAAATTAAGATGATGATGATCGAAGGGGCTTCTACGATTTACCTCCCACTCCCCCTAACGCTAATAAAAAAACGAGTTCGTTGTATTAAAGACCACCTCAATATAAGAGGGAAAAATCAGTCTGCGATTGAAATAGTAAGAAAATGAAAAATCATTAAATTTTCAATAAAGTAATAGCACCTAATAAACAAAATATCGCGCACGAAGAATTTCGTACAATTATCTTTATAATATTAGAAGCTAGGTATATAATATTATCGACCAAAAAAGGCAAAAAAAAACACGCCTGTTTTATGGGAGCCCTTTAATATTTATTTTATTTTAATTTAATTATAGTGAATACATGTCGGCAAACAAACTGTGACAAAGTCGCTCCAAAATCAAGGTCATGCAGTTTTTTTTACAACCGTGGTGTGGTTCACTCCAAATTCCTACCAGAGGGAGAAACAGTGAATAAAGAATATTATTTGGGCGTCATGAGACGTTTGCGTGAGAGTATCCTCCAAAAACGTCTAGATTCGTGGCAACACAACTCATGGCCATTATTGTGAAAGAGTTTTTAGCGAAAAATTCAACAAAAGTTCTCGACCAAGTACCGTATTCACCTAATATGGCCTCGTCTGACCTTTTTTATTTCCCAAGTTAAAATTACCACTTCGAGGAAAACGTTTTGAGTCGTTAAATCCATAAAGGAATTTTCGCTGAATGAACCGCAAGTAACCTACGAAAAATGTATGGAGGACTGGGTCAAGTGGTGGAGATGTTGCATTGCAAGCAATGGGGCCTACTTTGAAGTGGATAAATTAAATTTAGTTCAATTATTTGTATTTATATGTTTTTTTTTTTTTGAAAAAATCCCGATACTTCTTAGTACACAGAATGTATGGTATCACGGCCTTGTAAAATAGTTTTCCGAACTAAACATCGCAACAAACCACGAAAGGAAAAATCATTTGTTTGTTTTAGCCACAAATTACAAAATACTTTATGACGCTGCGTTTTCAGGGTTCCCCCTTCTTATCCTTTGGGTACGAAACCTTTAAAATTAATTGAAATTTTAATCCTTAAAAATGCTGCTTTATATTGAAAATCATTTGCGTCCTATATTCTACACTATCTTTGCGAGTAGGTAAATTATCAGAGATCGTTCATTTTTTTTCACATTACACAGTACGGCCTCAACATCGTTTGAAAGTTCGAATACATATTAATGTAAATAGTGCGTATTAAAAATGCGTCACTGTAGGTAGGGTGTCTTTTTTGCGTATAACATTTTATATTATTGATTCTCAGAAATTTTAGTAAACATACCTATTTTAATGTTTACATATATTTTTACCGCGCACATCATGGGGACCTTGACAGACCATGTAAATACATGCAGTCATCTCATGAATGCAATCGTGCTAGAAATTAATATACAGTCACAGTAGGTACTTTTCGAGTTTCGTTTACGTTTTGTTCTGTGTTGGCACTTACTCTTGAATTACGATTTTTATTATAATTGGGAGTTCGATGGCGCAAGTGGTTAGCGCGTTCGGCAGCGATCGTTGAAGTTAAGCTACTTTCGCAGTGGTCGGTCTTTGGATGGGTGACCAAAAATTTACTGTCTCGAGCTCCTCCGTGCTTCGGAAGGCACGTTAAGCCGTTGGTCCCAGCTGCATCTGCAGTCGTCAACACCCACCAATCCGCACTGGGCCCGCGTGGTGGGTCCAATCTCCCTATTCCATCCATAGGGAAGGCCTGTGGACCCAGCAGTGGGGACATTAATAGGCTGATGATGATGATTATAATTGGACGCTTTACATGCTACGTAAGCTTCTCTTGTTTATCACTTATAAGTAGTTACTTATTTGTAATGTATTTTTTAGTTCTCGAATACATACGCCATGTTTATTATTATCTTAGTAGGTTAATAGCCCAACAACAAAGTCCAGTGACGCCGTCGCTTATCGAAACATTATTAATTATCACTAGATTATTTCCATTTTATAAATAATGTGTTTGGTATCTTGTAGCTGATTGCTGGTGTGGAACCATGGATCAACTAATCGACCGAGCGATAAATGATGCATCGATTTGTGTTCTTATTTTTGTATCGTAAGTATGTTTTTGTCTGTCAAAGTTGACTCAGATAATGTATCTATTATTGTAAGATTCCTTGGTCGTCATAACTGAACAACATTAAAACTGCTCGCAATACTGAATAGATACGCATCACTTTTTTTATTTTCCTACATTAAGAAAACAAAGAAAGCCTAACGACTGGCGAACCAATAAAGGAAAAATGACTATG